CAAAAAAAAGCCAAGATTTCCCCTCTCTAAGGTTCGTGGGGGGGAAAAGGAAGAATTGTGTTTTTTTTTTTTTTTTTTTTTTTTTTTTTTTTTTTTACGGTATGCACTCTTTGAAATTTTCTTCATCTGCTTTAACGTGTGCAGCAGTGTCCGTTGGCAGAGCATCTATAGGGCAGGGCAAATATTTACTTGTCTGTTTGTCTGTCACCGCTCTATCTGGGCGTAAGATGAGCTGTGTTAGTGCGTGTCCTGGGAATAGATTTTTTTTCTTTTCTTTTTTTTTGCTGCGAAGGAGAAGAGCCGAGGAGCAGGAAGTGAACTTTTGGCTGGTGAGCAGCGCTGAGCAGGATGTGCCGTGTGTTTCTGCTCACAAGCAGATATGGGGAGGGAGAGAAGCGGGGAGAGCGCAGCGGGGTGGACGTGAGCCATTGTCTCAGTATGAAAAGCCTGTTCGTACTTCTGAAGCCCTGGATTCAGAAGAGCAGAGGACTGTATCTTCTCTGTTCCTTCCTCTTATTTGCTCTTTGGGAATAAAACTTCTGCTCAGTGTCACTGTGGGTGTGTGCTTTAGGAGCTGTACAGTGACCGTGACTTGAGGGTGATAAATATATATTTAGGGATACTGTTTGTATCTGAGATGTTACCCTCCTAATCTTGACAGACAATGTCATGTTTTGTTGCGCTACAACCGCAAACTTGAGTGTATCTTGTTGGAGAAGTGCATAACTATAAAGTGGGGTGAAGAAGGTCATAGGTCTCCATTTTTAATTTATAAATAATCTGAAAAGTGTGGCATGCATTTTTATTCATTTTTGATATAATTTTTGCAAACTAGCTAATTCTTTGTTTGCAAAGCCTTTGCACAACTGATTTCTTGTATTGTTATCCTCAACAAGGGTTTTTGTATGGACTGGGCCAGTTTAACACTTGAATGTTTTCATCTAAGCTGCTTCATTGTATTTTAGGGTTTATATTTAAGGTTGTTTACTTGCCCAGTTGTTGGTTTTTCATTGTGAAAAATTAAATTCAATTGTGAAAAATTAAATTGTGAAAGTTGCCCCCTATCTTAGTTTAAAGAGATTCTACTTAGAATTAAGTAGCTAGATACAAATGCACTCCACACTTTTTGGATTTTCATTTTTGGATGTTTATAGAGTTTGTGCATTTTACCCTTCGACTTCGCAATTATTCACTACTTTGGGTAAATCTGTTGGATGAAATCTCAATTAAATACATACAATGTTGTGGTTGTAACCTGACAAAATGTTAAAAAAAAAAAAAGTTCAAGTGGGGTGAAATAGCTTCAGCATGGCACTGTAAATAATTTCATGTGGCTCCGAAAGTAAAATGTAAATAAGTAATAAAAAGGCCGGGGTATTTCTTTTTCTCTGTGGCTGTCTAATTTAGTCAGTCAAATTATTGGAGCCTTGTTTCAATTTACTGGTGTAGCCCCAAGGGATTTTATGCCATTTGCCTTCGCTAATGTTATTTAGATGACAAACTAACACAGAAGCCACTCAGGGCCGCCATAAAAGTTTAGATTAAGATACTCTGAAATTTATTTAATAAGTTCTTAAAAACTGATTTGTAGTCATATAAAATGAAATAAAAAATTAAAGGCGAAGGCCATATTAGAGGGCTCTTTGCCAGTTTTTGTAAAAGAAAGTGTTTCTCCACCAGCAGAACAGGAAAAGATTATGTGACTCTGACAAGCAGAGTTGTCCCGTTCTCCTACCGCTGTTTAACTTTTATTAGATTTTACAGCGTTTGCCAAAAAGACTAAAGCACTTAGCAGACATGACAGAAGTAAAAGCAAAACTAAAGTACAAATGTCATGACTTTTGCACGTCAAACTGTGAAACCTAACCAAGCTAGGCCTCTGACTAATTTAGCATTATAGAAAAGGTCTTCTTTTATCTGGCATATCATGGCACTTC